TGGCCTTGGGGTTCTCTTCATCAGCCTTCTCCGACTGTTTTCCAGAAGCTGCCTTTGCACAAGCAGGCCGCTTCCTGGGAGCCCCCATTGGCACAAAATGATCTCCCCACCTCCTTCGGCCCGATCAGCTGCATGAATCAGCAAACGTGTTGCATCAAAGGTGCTGCATACTTACTACCACTTTGCGGCGAGGAAGATGCACACAGTCAGCTGTCAAACTTTAGCACCCTGCCTCAGGATCCTCTGCTGGCAGCGTCACCTGGAAGATCTGTTTATTGCTTGCTTATCAAATGTTGTATGTTCAAGTTGCCGGCAAAGCTCGTGAGGAAGCTACCGCTTTCAGGACACAGACGAATGAGGCCGTGCATGATTCTGATTTTTGGGACCCCTGCTTGCATGGCAGTCTCAAGGCTGCAGCTTAGTCATTCAAAACTGACAGGTTCACAAAACTCTGAGCGAAGGCAGGCTCTTGTGCAAACTCGACGACAGACAATCTCGCGCCGTCCTGGCACAAGAAATGCAGAAATGTCTTTTGCACTCCTGCATGCAACACTCGCATCGCTTCGTTTCCTCTTGCTGCATTCTTCGCCTTCCGGAAAGCAAAGATATCTTGAAGAGTACTGAACATGCACCGCCCGCTTGCCAACTCCACTAAGGAGACACCAAACGCCCACGCTTCACCTTGCTGACCAAGCCTCGTCCGGATTTCGGACAGTGGAGCATGAAGTTCCGGGGCACCGTAGGGCAGCAGATATGGGGGACATGTAATGTCTGTAGTGTCGTCTTCCTGTCTGCACAAGCGGAAGTTAGCAAGCTTGACGCAGCGAGCGTTGCCGTCGTAGTACCAAGCCTGGGGCCGCAGATCTAGATGAAGCAAGGACAGACGGTGCAAAGTCGAGACGGACCTTGCCATCTGATAGGCAACATCCCGCAACAGCCACTTGTCCGAATCCACTCCAATTGAGCCCAGCGGAGGAAAGAAGTCGGTGACGATGCAACGATTTGGCTCCTGTTCTCTGTCCATAGTAGCATAAAGCAGCCTATGAAACAATTCCTCGTTCTCCTTAAAATCGACGTCCTCCGATTCCTCTTCGAAGGCCTTGTACAAGCACTTCAAGCACGCAATCTCCCGCTGGAACTCATCCTGACAGTTGTAGAACACGGCCCTTGCACGAGTTCGCATAACTCTGTGTTGAACGAGGTAGCAGTCGGCAGAGTGACCAGGGAGCCGCTCGTGCCCATGGCTAACCAGCTCGTAGTCACCAATTCTACCCACTGGCTCAGCACACTGCTGCTTTGTCTCAGGCACGATATCAACCATGTCCTTGATGGCCTTGCGACGTGCTTCCACCTCCTGCTTGGATCTCTGCATGTACACATCTTTGGCTGCTTTCGATAAATCCCCCCAAGCCTTTCCAACGGCTGAAAAGAGCTGTCGATTCTGCTTCTGGTTTGTTTTGCCAGCCTCTGGGAACATCTCATCTCGGATTCGGGGACGGTTCTCTTTCACGAAGATCGCATAAGCTGTTCGTTTCTTTGGTGCCAGACTTTGAGCGATTTTTTTCATCTCGGCTTTGGTAGGACGTTTGACTGGCTTCCTGTTCGCAGCTTTCGCAGCTGGCTTCTTGCGTGGAGCCATTCTGAGGCGAATGAATCTACGGAGCTTCTACTCCTTCTACTCACATCTGACCTGAACCCGGATGCGGATGTCTGCTTTCAGAAGCCTTAGTACATGTACTGTACACCCAACCCGGGTTGGAAATCGCTCACATCTGCCTCCGCTATCGACATGCAGACGCTACCTGACACTTGACATACCTAAGGCTTAAATCGCCGTCTCGAGCACAATCAATGAGTGAAAGGCATAAGACATGTAAATAACTTGCACAAGCACGACCAGAAGAACAAATCGCGGCAAGCTGTCCAGCAGCACTTGTTCTGCTCTGCACGGACCAGGCTCCCCACCCTCGCCGGCGAATCTCCGTACACCTGCGCCGCACATGATCTCGTATTTCACCGGGCGATCTGGGAAAGACTTTGCTAGGATCTGTAGAGTCTGCAGAGCTCAAGCTTTCACCTACGAAAACAGTTGATCAACACCTTTTTTCGAAACGGAGATGCTTCGGATGTCGAGTCGAACTTGTCACTGTCACCGTACAAAAACTGAGCCACTCCTTGAGTGGAGAAGCTGACGACTTCTCGATCAGAGCTCGGACACAAATCAAAACTGCCAACACTCCGTCCGCTGGACTACGGCGTGACTTCCGCATGGGATCGCTTGAGACTCCTGGTACCTGCCTGCAGCACATCCAAGTGCTCCCGGAGCTCATTCAACTCCATGTCCTTGGCCCTGGCGGGATATTTCGCAAACTCACAGCTGGACCCATGTAAACCCTGCTTAATAAACTTAAAAGATAAACCATGATGCAGCGCTCCTCGCTGTCTTGAAAGGATCGAGAAAATCCACCAACGGCGTGGCATCCTCTGAATTATGACCCTGGGCGACGGCCGGCCTCGTAGATCACTATCCGAGGAAGATCCGTCGGCCGGCGGCTTAGACCCAACCTTGGCCGGGAGTCGGAAGTATCGCATGGCTTGCCGATCTTATTCGCACACTGGTCGTCAACTTCAAGGAGCAAATCCTTCGCTGCACTCTTCATCTGAACATGCCCAACGCCGCCTGCCGGGAGGACACTGGCAGGAGATGGCCCGCTGCGACCTGGGAGATCGAATTTCTGATTAATCACACCCGTTGGCAAAGGCTTCAGGCAAAGGCTTGAGAAAGAGAAGCATCACATGAATGAAGACCCGCAGACAGCAGCCGAAAGCTTTTCGATTCGCAGCGGGCCGAGCGTGGCCTTCTCCAAAGAAACTTCGAGCCTGCCCAGTAGCCTGTGTCTCTCTTCAAGCTTCTTTGTCCGAGAAGTGTCCCACGATTATTGTAATTGGATGCAGAAAACCTTCTCTCGACACAGGCCAAGCTCGGGACCCTGTGAAATCAGCAGTACATCCATCCCTGACGACAAGGGCTCAGGACCCTGCGAAATCAGCAGTGTATGCATCCCTGACAACAGGGACTTTTTAAAATGAAGACACCGATGGAGAACTCGCCTCACGACGGGGCTTCTTGACTTCACGACCAGTCTCTGCGTCTGACTCTGCAAACTGACTGGCTTTTAAAAGCTCCAGCTTGCTTTTCAGCTCATTCAGCTGAGTCCCAGCCCCAATGACCTGATCTTCCAAGGACTGAATCTCCTTCAACTTTTCGGTCCTGCCAGAGGCCAGAAGCTAGCTGGGCACAAGACACACTTATGGCGAAATCTTTCAAACACAGCTCCTCTTCAAGCTTTCCGGCTGCACCACATCCGCAAAACTCATCTTCGATGCGAGGCCGTCGGTGCAGTTGGACAGCTTGAAAGCGTTGACGGCGGCACACATGGACATGAGCTTCTGCCCGATGGCGACGGTTGATGACGTGTCATCATTCGCCGCCCGCGCGACTACGAAGTCCACGGGACCGTGGAGTTTCGAGAAGGAGTCGAGCACCAGTCCGACGTCCTGCGAGCTCAGCAGTATTATTAACGAATCTCAATCCCTGGATCTGCGCACACACGGGCACCCCGCACCTCCCTGCATGTGGGGATGGAAGCTGCCTGCAACCGCAGCTCCAAGATGCAGAATGACTTCTTGATGTCCTTTGCCTGAAGGCTCGCCATGATCGAGGCCTGTCGGTCGTCTCTGAACAGCACCACCTGTTCCAGGGGGCAAGCGCACTTTCCTGGGCACGTTGCTCATCATATAATCCAGCATCCAAACGAAGTCCTTAGACGAATAACATGGAACACTCCTGAGCGCTTCTGCCGAGCACACACACACAGGCACAGCACGAACTCCGAGCTTGGACCCTGACGAGGTCCAGCTCCCACCACTTCTCCTTGTGCAGCTGGTCTTCGCTGTTCGTCTCCAGCACCGCATACAGCACCCAGGTCAAAGCATCCGTGACCGGGGGTCGGCCGTTCCACACTTCTGAAACCTGACAGCACAAGATCTCCGACAGGACCTCAACCGACCAATCCTGCCCCTGCAGGCCCACCATCCTGCTGCCCGGAGAGTGCTGGCCGAAGTGGAAACCGGCAACCCGCAACTTCCCTTGGATGAGGGCGAAAGGGCCAGTCATTGCAGAGGGGGAGATCACCAAGTGGAGAATCGCGAATGAGAAGTCTAACTCCCCTCCTTTCACCGGCCGCTGGTGCTCGCCAGACAGGTTGTAGTTCAGGTTCCGTCCGATACGCAGGAGGGCATCCTCGGCTCCGTGATGCTGCAAGACACGACGACAGGACGACAAGCCAGCAGATGGTGCGCCAAACTTTGTGACTGCCAAACCTAAAGGACTCGAATCCGAGACACAAAGCAAGCTTCGGTCGGGGAAGAGGCCAGTGGCAGGCCACCAAAGGCCCCCTGGGCGGAAATGATCACTCGCTGAGGGCTCATGTACCGAAGCTGATCCAAGAGCTCCCGCCACTCCTTTGCCGCCAAAGCAAAATACGCATGAGCCATGCCCTGAAAGTCGGAGTCTGAAAGCACAAGGATGCCCAAGCTAGGAAGCTTCTCAAGAAATGCTAGCGGCATGCGCTCTACACGCCATTGCTGCGCATTGCCCGCAACTTCTGCTCACATGCTTGCATGCTTACAGCAGTGTGCATCAACAACAAATCTTTCTGGCTCCAAGAAGAATCCGTCTCAGTCAAAACATGAGCAATCCCAGCCTGACCAACAAAGACAAGTGGAATAAATCATATCATCTTGTAATTCGGACATGCATTGTCTGCTTCGATAACGCTGGGTTGCTCTTAAAAGAGTGCCCGGCCTGCCGAAAATTGATTCAGTGCAGACGACTACACAACGTGATTGACGCAGCAGCCTGCACAGGTATATCACGGACACGAAGATATCATGAAAAGGCGGGTGTCGAGACAAGGCCGGTGTCTTTCGAGAACTCTTCACGCGGAGTCTTCGTCCCCGTCTCCGTCAAACATGTTCGGAGCCATGCTGGTATCCTGCACCGGCTCTGGGGCCTGCACGGCCGGCGTCGCCGGCTCTACGGTCCCCTCTGCCGATTTGTCTGCAATGGGGGACGCCTCAGTGGTCACTGCAGCTGCAACGGGAGAAACCTGCTCGCTCACTGTCGTCCTTTCCAAATCAGCCGCTACAGGGAAGAGCCGATTGCGTAGGAAATCGCGCTTGCCCCGGATGGATTCAATCATGATGGTCAGGACTAGCCGTTGAGTGAGAACCTGCATCAGGTAATGCAACACCAACAACAAATTGACATATCACTCAAGCACGCAGCTACAGCCAACTCTGCCGTGCCTCCCGGTGTGTTTTGCTCTGAACCAAGCTCAAGCAATGCACATCCTCACGTATGCAAGCCAGTTCTGCTTGCCCGAATCCCGGGCAGAAGGACACCACCTTCGCCGGAGTGCCCTCAGAACCAAACATGTTCAGCAGCTCTAAGAACACTTCTTCCTGACAGGTCCACGGGAAGAAGTAGAATAAGTAGAAGCCATCGTCCACAGCTGCGGTCTCGGAGACCTCCACTGCCTCCAGAGGCGGCCCTGCTTGCTGCTGGTCCTCCTGTTGTTCCGATCCTGCGCTCATGCCCTTCTGGAGCTCCTTGAACACCTTTTCACACAAGCGCACCTCGTGATGTTCCCTCGCACGCAGCTTCAAGCCTGAAAGACCCCTTGTGAAGGTCGAGCCTGGCAGGTCAATGAATCTGCGAGGCCGCATAAGCATCTCGACGCCCACTCCCAGCACTGTGACACATGTTTCCAGAGGGTCTGGAATCATGCAGATGGCTTTGGCTCGAGGGCTGAACGCGTATCCTCCCTCGCCAAACTCTTCATTCGTGTAGATGAACCTGTATTGGGGTCCCAAAGGCTTTTTGTGAGTGTGATCAGATTTCTTGGCCTCGGCGCAAATATTCTTTCGCACCTTGGTGCAGATATCGCCTCGGCGGCCGTCGAGCACAATTAAGACAGACGATTGTGCGAAAAGCGGAAAGGTGGCTGCCATGCATGCCTGCATGTGACCTTCGTCGAAAGGACTGAGGAGATGCCACAGCCGACTCTGATACCGGGCGGACGTTTTGTCACAGTGTCCTTTTACGTCGTATATGAAGAGCAGGCGCTCCTCTGCCTGTTCAGGGGCCCGCTTCAGCACTGGGTGATCCCGGAGCGCATTGCACAGATCAGTCGGGGGAGTCTCCATGAAATGGACGTTGCTGGCCACTCCTTACACGAATTGTTATTATTATTTTTAATAGACCCTGTAGCCACAACATGATCATTCCACCAAGAGGCTCGCGCATGCGAACCGATGAAGGTTCCAGAACACACTGTCATCTACACCGGCCAGTGTGACCTGCATGCTCTCTGGGATGATCAAGGCAGGGAAGGCCTGGGCCCATGCACGCGGTGCCGCTGGCTTCTGCTCAAGCTCCTCCTCCGGAAGCTCGGGCTGCGATTCCATCACAGAACCAGTCTGGGACTCAGCAGGGACCGGCTGGCTCGTCTCCGCCACGGAGGCTGCTTCCTCAGCATTCTCAGCAGCTTTTGCCTGCTGCTTCAAAAGCAGCTTGGCCTGCTTTTCTGCCTCCTCGTCTACCAGCTTCTGAAGCAAGGCCTTGAAATGTAAGGAGCTTTCTATGTCTGCATTCTCAACCAGTGCCTGTCCGTTCATCATTGGACTCTGGCACAGCAAGTTTCCAATGTGCTCGTCGCAGCTGCCGTCCATGAGACAGAACACTGCCTCCCGCAGCATCTTCTCGGCTACGCTGGTTGCAGGGGGCAAATCTGCAACTTTGCCCAGGTTTGCCTGCAGACCCTGCGGATGTCGTTGGTGAAATTGCAGGAACCCGCCGAGATCCGCAGCGTGTGGGAGCTTGCTTTGCATGTACAGTGTCATCCGACGGATTGCGAGGTAGACAGTTGCCAGCTCCTTCATTTTCTCACGGCCTTCCTGCACGGAAGAATTCACTCCAAACCGAGAGATCAGACCCCTAAAGCCCTGGACCCTCAAAGCCTAACCCCTAAACCCAACCCCCTGAAATCCTGGGCCCTAAGCCCTAAACGACTGGACCGTAAACCCTAAGACTGTAAACCCATAAACCATAGCCGGCCTTACCATTGTTGGTGCCACGGAGCTGGCGGACGAAAGTGGCCTCCAGCACATATTCCAGGAACCTCAAGCAAACCGACCTACCCGTTATTGCAAAGACACAACCCACGCAGACTGCAGGCCTTGCACACAAAAAGCCCACCTTGTTGCTAGAGCTGGGTTCGAGGGCATTGCCGTTTTCTGACACACAGCATCGATCCCTTGCACGAGGCAGAACGGATGGCCCTTGCCGAAGATGCTTTCGAACTGGTCCAGAATGTTGCATGCATGGGGGCTGAGCCTGCCGTGAACTTTGATGGCCATTTGAACGGACTTCAACGAAACAGCATCCTCAGATGTCCACCGCACGCCCGCGTTGAGATACTCAAACACCTGCTCCTGGCCACAGGGCCGGTTCTTGGACCTCAACTCCTCTTGCGCCTTGACAGCCATCCGAGTCAGCTTGTAGCCAATCAGGCCTGCGAAGACCTCTTCGGCCTTCTTGTTCTGATCCAATTGGATCTTTTTCAAGACGACACTTCCAGACACCATCTCGAAGACCACAGGGATGGAAAGTGCCGAGGCACGATACTTTGCAAGTTCCGCGGGATCCTGGAGGCACATCGAGTATCCAAAGAGCCATGCCAGTCTGAAGACGCCGCCATCCATGGTATCAAAGAAGCCTTTCTCTGGAACTTCTTCGCAGGACTTGGCCTGCACAACGGTTGGGAATTGCATCATGGCTGCAGGGCCGGCCTTTGCGAAGAAGTGATTGTAGCATCTTTTCACTGTGCCAATCACAGGAATCATGTCCTGGTGCTCGAGTGCCTGAGATGAGGTATTTACACGCAATGAGACTCCACTCGACACACTGGGCTGTCCTTCCTGCTGGGCAAGGCACAAGTCCCAACCATCGGAACGGCACAACGCAGGAACACTTGCCATGCTTTGTCATCGCCTCCTTGTAGAAAGCTGTTGTCACAGCCATCTGGCCCCCGAACGAGACTGGATCGTCTGACTGCTCGTCCAGCCACTGCAGCTCGTCCAGCATTGGCACAAGGATGGTTTCCGCAATCTCTTTTACCGCTGACTCTTTCCCTTTCGAGCTTTCAATCAGCATCTCGGCCGACCTACGCAAGAGGCCCCCAGTTGCTGAAGGCACAGCAGTCTCCGGCACGTCCCCCGGAGCGGAAGCTCTCGCAGCCGCATCGGCTGGCTTGATTTTTTTGCCCGTCTGTTTCGCCTGAGGCTGCTTCGATGCGACCCGTTTGCCGCCAGCCATGCCCCAAGTGTCGCAGCTACCTCGGGCTCGTGCCCACTGTTAAAAGAGCCGATGGCTGCTGCCACGAGAGAAATGTTCGGATGGAACACGAGCGCGGCTGCTACGTGGGCTGACTGCCCCCGGCTGCACATGCATGCAAACACGTCTGGGCGCAGACGAATCAGACGTGCAATTTGCTTTAGGATGTCATGTTCGCATGAAGCGGCGGAAGGATGGTAATCAAAATCTCATGCGATATCACTACCAAACCGAATCAAAACCGGCTGCTCTGATGACATGTATCCTGCTCTCGGACCCGAGCGCGGCTGCTACGTGGGCTGGCTGCTCTCAAGCAGGAAGACCACCAGGAAGCCTCCAGCGAAGCGAAAAGCCAGTGTACTCTTTTTGACATTAATTAACTCCCCGACGGTTGCCACGATAGCGGAGCGATATCAAACGACCCGCTGCATTGTGAATTAGCGCCATCAGAATCCACTGGAAGCCCCTTACCGATATGTCCGCTTGGCAATCAGCTGTGTCAGTACAATAACAAACCCTGAGAGCCTTCGAAATTAAAATCGACCAAGCAGGGTCGGCATACAGTCGAGGCCAAGACCTGAGAGACTTTCAACTTCCGAACTGAATTGCTACTTAGGCTACTACAGTACTCCGCTACAATACTCCTGCCACTGCTTCTGCTAGTACTGCTACTGCTGCTTGGACAGGGTACCGCGGCGAAGGGGCATGCCTAGACCTACCAAAACCTACAACGGCGAAGGGGCATGCCTTGGCCTACAGAAAACCTACAACGGCGAAGGGGCATGCCTTGGCCTACGGAAAACCTACAACTAGACTTCAATACGCGGCGAAGGAGCATGCCGCCTAGACGTACATCTACGCTACAGTGCCATACGCGGCGAAAGGGCATGCCGCCTAGACAGATAATCTAGAATTCCACTACACTGCGCGGCGTAGGGGCATGCCGCCTAGACAGATAATCTAGAAGTCCACTACACTGCACGGCGTAGGGGCATGCCGACTAGTATTCGAATTACACTACCGCCTAGGATACAGCTGCAACGAATCCTAAGCCCAGTCTAGATATCATGCCTACGATCCAACACCCCAAGCCACAATCCCTGGGTTCAATCCCTAACCCAAATGCCGAAAGCTTAAACCTTGATCCCTGATGTCGCAGCTCTGCCCGGCGAAGGCCGCAGGTTTGGCTAATGCATCTGGAGTTTTCGGGTTTAGGGTTTAGGGCGGTGGGGTTCAGCTTGCATGCCGGGGCTCAACACACGAGTCGGTTTGGTGATCAGGGGTTCCAAATGTAAATAGGGAGTCCTTTGCAGTAAGATGTTATACAAGGTTGCGGTCAGGATTCGGAGTTTTAAGGTTTAAGGGTCTTGATCTTGTTTCAGATCAGGCTTGGAGCCGTGATTGCCGGTGCCAGCGCCGACGCGCCATAAGCTTTAAGATGCCCTAAGCCTATCACCGTCACGACCCCGATAAACCCGGAACCAGACACTCCAAATTAACCCCAGGCCCTAGTTGCCGCACAGCCAAACTCTTCTCTGCTTAGACCCTTATACCTGAATCTAGACAACTGAAATTATCTTCGAATTTGAGACCAGCCCCAAAAACTATACCACGATTGCTACTACGAATACTACTCTGACCACCGGGATTAATGTCAATGCCACACACTATGCCCTCCTCAGAACGAGAACCCAGCAGGAGTGAGGCGTCGATGTTCCACAATGTGAACTACCTACCAAGGAGTAATGAAGACGTATCCTTTGCAACTTCCACCTCAAGACTTGGCCCTGGGTCTCCGACGCCTGGCGCAGCTCGGGGACCGAAAGCCGATTACCTGCGACAGGAGCAGGGAGGTTATCAAGAGCCAGTCTAGCCTTACACGGCGGGTCCTTGTCAATAAACCCTCCACTCTCTTTGTCGATTGAGCACGCACGCTTTAGGCAGAAGTCGCCAATCTCCTATCTTTTGCAAGTTCCTTCCCCCAGCAACTTGCTCTGCAGTGGTTGGACTCGTCGCTAATATGTATCAAGGTTTACATATTTGGTTCTATTTGTATAATCTACGACCGAGGCAAAGGAAGTCGTTACGGTTCGATCCACTGTGTGCGCTGGTGGAAGAAGTGCAACATACCGGCTGGGATGCCAATCTTAGCTTCCTTCGCGGCTTTTGCCGCGAGCTCTTTCAAGCCCTCTGGCTTGCTGGCAACTGCATCACCAACGAGAACCAAGCACTCTTTTTTCTGTACATCCTTCCAACTGCTACGCAGTTGCCAAGCAGCTGGCTTCCGGGCAAGAGTTGCGCCCTCCAAGCATCTGGCGATGGCGGCTGCACATTCCAGATCCGCTTCATCCTTTAAAGACTTATGGAAGCAGATCTCGGTTGCGATGCTCAAAGTACATCTCAGCTGCAAAACTGGCTGGACCAGTCGGCCCTCGGATGTGCAGGCTTCGAGCCAACGCGGTGTACCGATAAAGCCACCCAAGAGCCTGGTGGCCAATAGAACTGCAGTCATATGCCGATTCTGCTCCGGCCCCACTGTCATCCCAAGTTCAAGTTCATAGCTGCTGGCAAACCAAAGCAATTGGCATCCACGGAAACGCTGAAACTGCTCCTTGCTGTTCTCCCAGACCTCTACCTTCAACCGCAGGGCTTCCAGAACCCGAGCATCCTCTGCTGCACAAGCCACAGCGCAAACGCTGCAGGCATCCAGGCTTGGCTGGCCTGGCAGCTCGAACAACTGCTTGCGCTCCAAGTCCGCCTTGATGCTGCTCTCTCTCCTCTGATGTTCCCTCAGTTTCTTGGTCGTCTGTGTTCGAACCCCGAACGGCTGGGCATCCTCCTGGAACTGCCGCTTCTTCCTCAGCGATGCAATGGTCCATCCTACTCTAACATAAGATAATCGAAGAATGGTTCGTTCTTAACTTAAGCTACCGCCGTTTGACTGCTGTGCGGGTGCGCAGCGATGCGACGTCTGTCTGCAACAATCGAGTCAGCTTCTCGTACTTCTCTCCCCGCCGGTCAGCGGCGCTCTGCGCGGCAGCTGCTGAGAGCTCCCCCAAATCTGAAACATCTGCGTTCGGTTGCAATACTTCCAGCTGAGCTCGCCTCTGCCGCTTCAAACCAACCATCGAAAGACGCTCACTGCTGGCCTCCGCATTTTCGGAAGGCTTCGATTCTTGCCGCCTTGGCAGCTTGGATTTCTTGGTGTTCTTGGCCCCGCCATGTAACTGTAGGAATGCCCTTTGCGTTCGAGAACAATGCTCCGAAGGGACGTATCGCCCAACGGCTTTACCATCCAGCTGGTGGCACTCCACGAACTCTGAAGGCGGCAGGCCTTGCAGAAGTATATCCAAGATTTGTTCATGATACCTGTTGTTCACACGTAGGTAGAAGATTGCTAACATATAGAATTATAGAATGAAAGACAGTGCTTATTGCCAACGTGGCCGTTCAGTCTGCATTTCATGAAGCTGCGAAGGTGTTCGATGCTCGTGCGGGCTTTCCGCCCCTTGGACAGCATCTCCAGAAGAGCGAACTGCTGTTCAATCTCTGCCGTGGAGGCAAACGTGCATTGCATAAATGCGACCTGAGGTACCAGCATGAAGGTGGCATGCATTTTACAGCGGATCGGATATGACTTCGAGTGTGCCATAGCAGCTTTAAGTTTCAGGCTGCCTCTCTCAGCAACGGCAGCTTGTCCGACCAATGAGCAGCCGCTTGCAGCCAAGCAGTGTCGATGACCCCATTCCTGCCACAAAATCATGTTGAAGATGCAGATCAAATTCACTTCTAGAATCAGGAAAAACCAGCAGCAGCAAGCCTTCGCAGCTGAAGCACTGTGGGCCGACAAGTCAGATACTCGTTGGCCAAGATTTTGGCCTCCAGCAGTAGGGCCGGGCAATTACGAGTCTTTTGAATGGCAGAGAACACAACCACTACGATGCAATGTGTCAGTCGACTTCGATGAACTAGTCTCAGGCAAAGACATCCGAACCGAGAATGTCGGCCAAGGGCTTCAAGGTCGTTGACCTGTGTGCTGACATAAGATGATGTCACTCTCAACTACACATACTTCTTCCCTTAGGCCCTTGGGCTCTGGCAAGGCATCGTCAGTAAAGTTCTCCTGCCAGAAGTCAACGTCGAAGGGCTTTAGGGACGCCACGACGCTCACGTCGCCAGGTTCCAGCGCTTGTAAGTAGAGCGTGGCAACGTTCTGGATAGATCCCAATTCTCTTGCGAGAACCCTACGCAAGTTTGCCTCCGATCGGAGGCCGGGCCTGTAAAAAACCAAGCGGTCCCCACTTATCACACCTTCCTCGATCAGGAGATCGTAGCTGGACCGCATCATCGATACGTAGCCTGCTGTATAGTGGTCAGCGAGAACCAGTGGTTCACCATGTGTGAAGAAAAACAACCTGTGCAGTTCCTCGCTGAGGTTCTGCAACCAATAGGCAGATTTCGTCACTAGGCCAGGCTGTGCCCCAAGGTTGTCGTACTTATGGTGGTATCGACTGGCAGAGGCAGCTAGTTCACAAAGCAACGCTAATAGCAAGAGCTTTGGTCCTGTGAAGAAGGTCAGAAGATGCTCAACCCATTTACTTTTTTTGGGGTCCTGGATCCTGAACTCGAGGAGTGCTGTTACAATCGGGCGCACATGGAGCACCACAAGCTGTGCGATATCCAAAATTGAATCGAAACGTTGTGCGGCGTACCGAAATGAAGCAATGGACTTCAGTTTGCCGTCCAAGGATTCGAAGGCCCGCACCACATTCTCATGAAACAAGTGCTTAAGCCTTGACGAGTTGTGGAAGCCCCGTGCCAAAGACCCCAGATTGTTGTCGTCATTTGCAGGCGAATATGCCGTTATCAATGTCTGCACCATCTCTTGGCAGGAGGGATCAGCAGCTATGGCTTTTGCCAGGGAGCCCTGACCAGCATGGAGCCGACATCTCAGCACCGATTTCAAGCCCTTCAAGTGCCCCAACTCCTGCAACTGAACATCGGTGAATGGAGCAGGATCCATGCGATCATAGAGCATGACTCCCGTTATCCCAAAGTTCACCTATGACAATGAAAAATACCATACATGATCATACATGGGATGTCCCAAGGACCCGCCACTGCACAGACGTTTTCGAACATTCAGATGAAGCCAGGACATGTGAAGCAGCACGCAGCATTTCAAGAGCAGCACAGTCCGCAATGCGGCAAGTGCACATGCACAGAACTCAGTCCTTGCAGAACCTAGCCGCCAACGGTTCGGCGCTTTCTCCATCTGCCGTGAACACCTTCAGTGCCAAGCCGGGCATGGCAACAGAGATGTGAACATGATGTGAACATAAAGAAACCAGCACCGCCTTGAGGCGATGCTCGAAATCTTCCAAGATCTTTCTGTCACCAGCGGCGAACTTCTCTAACGCAGACCAGACTTGGCGAGCCTTGTCCAGCGAAGCCTCTCGTGAATCATGAAATGAAGTCAGGAGCAAGGTGCCCATGTTCTTAGTCCTTGTACTGCTATCATTAAATTACGACCTCAATGCCATTGACCACATGATACACGTCTGGGCCTTTTGCTTATGAAGTCGCTCACTATACGACTCTTGATCAGGTTTGTCACAACCGACACTCATTCAGAGATGAGGCCTTGGTTCCCTCGATATCGTGGACGTCCAGGACAAAGCATCGAAAAGACATGTCTTTGGTGACAATACGGGCACGCAGGAACTCCACGCCACCTCGAACGTCCTGGCAGGGGCGCATGGAGCTCACCGACCCTGGAAGTCCAGACACGCACCAGAAACAACGTGACGTTATAGCGGCGGAAGCCAGAAGCCGGAACTGTCCTCCGCGAGACCAACGCAAAGCACCTCCCGTTTCATGGCCTTGCGGTCCAGGTCAAAAAGGACGGACGCATAGGCATCCAAGATTCTGCCGTGGGTGCCCTTATCACTTCTGGCCAGGGGAACGTTCAATGGATCACTCCTCCAGCTCTCGGGTTTTGCCAATGATCCAAATAACAGCATGGATTCAGAATGGTAGTAGAAACATACTGGGATGAATTTCGCTTCCATGACGGTGCATTTTATGCCCCGACTTATTGTCCAGCGGATTAAGGCAGGCCGACAGAAAGCCTAAGCTAGCTTAGCAAAACCTGAATCTTAAGATATCCGAAGTAGCCGCTGTCCTGTGATGTGCCTCGCAGCGGCGCTGGTACTCAAGACTCTGAGCCCCAAGACTGGACCAGAGGGTCTCCAAACTCAGCAAGCACTGCACAGCAGTCACTGGGGCGTCTTCCTCGGACTCTTTCTGGGCCTGTGGCGGCATGTTGGAATTCAGCCTCCAGCGTAGCGCCTCCTCATGCACCCGACAATGGTACGAGCTTCGCCTGCTCCGGTTGCCATGCCGGAGGAGGTCCTCTAGCTGCAGCTTTCCCTCACGTCCTTTGCTGAAGTCCTGGAAGGGAGTCTTGTTGGAGACTTTCATAAAGTCCGCATAGGAAGCGCACAAGATGCAGCCCAATCCAAATGGCTGCCCTGGCGGAGCCTCCTGGAGGTACGTCTTGTAACATCCATCTATGTCCTGGAAAACACACCGCGATCTCCACTCCTTCCCCTTCACTTGCCACAAGCACTGATTGCAATGTTTGGTCGCCTGTCGAACCTCAAGATTGCGGACGATTCTTCTCACATCACTCTTCATAGCACAACCGGTTTCTGCACACGGATTTTCCAAGATGACAAGAATCCGGACCACCTCCCTGAGGCCTATCTATCGCTCTGAGTAATACTGCTTACCTGGACCGACCTCACAAACAAACTGGCATATGAAGGCCGTATGTTACGTATCTAATCCTATACTGCCTGTACTGTTTTATGGAGCTTCTGTACCAACCAATCGCCGACCAGATCCAGTACAGAAAGTATCGCAATCAGTACAGGTTTTTTCACTTTGCAGCTACTTCTGATGACTGCGACATGTGGATGCAAAGCTCTACTGAATGATTGGTTTCCTGTACTGGGCAGGATTCTTTCAATTGCCACACATTAACCAATCTTAGTATTCTAAAACTGGATCAAAGCCCATTGACAAAGCTGTTTAGAAATCTTATTGTATTAATTCAATGCCTTGCAACAGATCCCCAGCGTGCCACGCATGATTCCATAGCCATGGCTGCAAAGATTGCTTGCAGACTGACAAGCACGTCAGCCAGTACAGAAAAAGCACACGCCAGTACATATGCCTTCTTCAAAGACCCAGTATGTTATTTCTATACTGAACGCAAGGCTTTCTATACTGAACGCAAGGCTTTCTGTACTAAATCGATCTGGGCTACTGTTCAGTACAGAATGCTCTGACCTCAGTACAGCCTTGGGCCACAGCCTCCTTGGTTCATTTATGTACAAGCATAATCTCGGCCCTTCAACACCAACAACATGAGGAGAACCCTTATGTAAGATGCACGTCCACTTGAAACCCCTTCTTTTATACTGAGGCCCTAAACTTTATGAACCATGTGTTCGGGGTTCACCGGGTTGCCTTTCGTTATCGGCTCATGATGACCCGACCTCTTAGTGCGTTTTGGACAGTCCGGGAATTTCGCTTCTGACGGTTGGATGAGAATGCCCCCAACTATCCCTATCGCTCATTACCTGAGCTCTGGAAACCAACAAAATAGAAAAGAGGTCCTATTCCATGCTAACGTATTCCAGCCGATCGCTTGCTCGAAACACTCTAACTTCTTCGAAGCACATGTCTAAATATGCCGCACCACACAAAGAAATGCAGTACGCACTTCAGGAAAATTCCAGGCTGAACCAGATGCATACCCAGCAGGCGGACGGGTTGTCCTCAACAGAAATCCAACCACTTGCGAGCCCATTAACCCCAACCCTTCCAGCCTCGGGGTGCAGGCTTGCCCAGCAGCCGGCAACACAGGCAACGACCTGAGCAACACGCGCACTTCTTCAAGGCAAATGCCGCACCGCACAATGAAGTGAGATACGTACTTTAGGAGAATGCCACGCTGCACCAGATGCACATCCAGAAGGCGGACGGATTATCCTCAACAGAAATCCAACTTCTTGCGAACCCAGAAACCCCAACCCTTCCAGCAACTGTGGGGCGCAGGCCTGCCCAGCAGCCCTCAACGCAGGCAAGCACCTGAGCAGAACAGGAATGTCAGGGGCCGACTTACCATTAAGGTCTCTTTGGAAGGCAACGTGGTGGCACCGGTCTTTTTCACCACAGCATCGCCCGGAAGAGTGAAGCACGAGCCGGCCTACAGTGTGCCACCAGTGCTGCTTTCTGCATGTGTCTTAAGCCTCAAGCCCGCTAGCTGTATTGCGCCATTTTGCCCCGATCACCAGTGGCTCACTTTCGCTTGGCCTTTTCGGCCTTTTCGGCCTTTTCCTTGGCCTTGTCCTTGGCCTTTTCGGCCTTTTCGGCCTTTTCGGCCTTTTCCCTATCCCTCTCATCTTTCACCCGCTGCAGCTCCTCCGCCAGACTCTTGTTGGCCGTCTCGAGCCTGGGCTACTCAAAAGTCGCATATTAGAACCCCTATCGGATACTACTACTAACCAAAACAAAACTTGGTTTTATTTTAATTCAGAGGACGCGATCTTCTGGTTTCGCAGCTTCTCTCTGAGCTCGTACTCGTGCTGCCGCTCGTTCCTGAGCCTGCCGTTCTCCTTGGTGGCATCCTGCAGGGTGATTTACGATATTGCATTTAGGCGCTTACACTCGGACAATCCAGGCGAGGCATATGGGTCCACCGACTGCGTTTAGGGTTCGGGGAGGTCCTTGAAGAGTCGGTCCGACGTGTCGAGTCTGCCTTGGCTAGTGAATCCGAAAGGTATTTTAAAAAACTAAGGCGAGTCGAAGCTTTGGGTTTTTCCCTCCTACCTAGCAAGGACGAAGCCTGCATTGCAGGAAACCCAAAGCTTAGGGTTTAAGGTTTTGTGCACAATGCCTTCCAAGAAAAGGCCAGGCACGCTGAAAGTCTGCAACGGTCTGCTTGTGCTCATTCGTGACCTCACTCAGCCGAGTCGACAGCCTCTCGATCGCCACGCTGTGGGATTGCTGCAGGTTTGCTCGGTCATCTTGAAGGTCCTGTATACTTAGTACTTTAGGGTTGTGTGTTAAGGGTCAGAGCTTAGGATTTGGCTAGGTTGAACCCGTCCGCCTACATAAATTCAATTTCTGCGATAAAGCAGAATGTGCATATTTACTGTTTAGGGTTTCGGGTCTGGGGCTCGAAATAATTCCGCCCAGTCCTTTACCTGCTTTCGCAGATCGGCGGCCTCTGTCGTCGCATTTTGCTCCGCCTGCCGTGCCGAATCCAAGGCTTGTCTTGCTTCAGTCATATCTTGTCGTAGCCTTCGATTCTCCACTTGGAGCTCTTGCAACATCGCTGCCCTCGTGCCGGACGTGGTGGACCTGCCGGATTACTAAAGTCCGAAATTAAGGCCTCGAGTATTAAATTTTGGGCGTTCGCGTTAGGGTTTTAAGGGTTTCGGGTTTCCAAAACCGTCCTGCCATCTCCAGTGCCAGGACGCCCAGCAGCTTTGGCAGCAGGTCGGTAGTACGGACCCGGAAACGGCCCAGGCCCAGGCATCACAGGCGGGTGCCATGGCCCCCACCACATGGATCCTAGTCAGACCCTGCTGCTTTCAGCATTGAACTTCACAGCCCGGCCATATGAGCCCTCAAGCAATCTTTGATGCTGTGATGCTGTTTTGCCTCCAAACGCGACCCCTCGACAAAGAGAGGCTAGCAAGTCTTGAAGCAAGCATTGCGGAACGGTGGTGATGTCATCTGGGGTTGGAGGAGGGTCTGTGGGCTTGGGGTGTTGGGGTTTTGGGATTTTTGTCACCCACATAGGGCGGATAGTTTCGGCTCTGGCAAGGCTCGGGAACGCGTCGGGTAGGGAGGATTTACTGTGTTTGGAACCCGAAGACTAACCCTGAAGATCTGAAACCCGAGAACCCCAAATATCCCAAACCGCAAGAAAGCAGCCGGTTAGAATCAACAGAAGCCCGCATCGAAGATCCTTTCACCCCAAAATCGTCATGTCGAATCAAGCCCTTCCACCGCGCCCGCAAATCTGTTAACTCTGAGATGCGGGCTCTACGGACGTCGAGGCCACGCCACGTCGCCACTGTCAGGCCTCAGCGATAGTTCTGCGCTCACTAGGCTTTAGCAGTTTCAGGCATCTTGAGGAATCTACCTAATAGCCAGAAGCCCAATATATTCTCGACTTGCGAATCGCCGAGGATATCCTGAACATCCTGCAAAACAACCCAAAGGAGATCCTATGTAGTACGATCCCGTCTCAAACCCTTGCTAACGAGAGCCAGTAAGGAGTCGAGGGAGAATTAGAGGCATAGGGGAACATATGCACCCCACCATGAAGCATACCACATATATTATATGCACCCATGTTAACCGAAGAACAAGCTTGTAGGGTTCTAAGTTTAAGGCCTCCTACTATTGGGTTTCAAGTAAAGATCAAAGGCCAACCACTCGCAGCGAAGAGGCTTGCCGCCTACGTACATAAACTACAGAGATTTTGCACGACTTTAGTCAACAGTATGGGTCGCGGCGAAGGGCCTGCCGCACATCAACACAGTCCACATGCAGCATACGATTCTGCTATACTTCAATCTCTTAAAGCTAGCAGGGGATTAAATCGTCAAGCCCGGGGCTGCATGCAATCATGGCTGAGACTGCCGCACGCCCTGCCGCACCCAATGTCGTGACAGTCGGCCTCGGCGACCGGGGGGTCGATGGCGCCACACCTGCCTTCCAACTGAGCCTCCAATCAAGCCTGTATAAACAAGGGGGGGCTTGCAAACCGGAAGTCTGGGAATTCTTCCAGGTCATATGCTTTGTGGCATTTGCTTAGAACGGTAGTCGAAGCTTCGGTGTAATGGTTTCGAGCATTCGGGTTTAGGCTTCCGGGGCCTTGAGTAGGTTTGGTGGCATGACACAGGGGGTCCGGAAACTTTATTTCCAGGTTTCTGTAATCATAGTAGCAAATTGGGACATCTGGCCCTGCATGCGAAACGCTCTCCAGGAGACGAGCTGCTGCCAACAAATCATGTGATACTACGGCTGGACTTTGAATGCGCCCATTGCTCAAATCATGTGTCAGCTGCGAGCTTTACAAACAAACACTCCGATTTGCATCAACCCTAGTGTTACCGTAGGGATGGAGCCCGGCCAGTATCCCCAGAGCACATCGCACTCGTGATCCCCCTTAAGCCCTAAACCGTTCTAAACCCTTTGAATCGAGCCCCACTATGATTCTGATTTCCACAGGCATGGCAGTCCTCGGCTGGAGAGGGGGGGGGAGGGGGGGAGGGGGGGAAGTCGGGATTGTTTTGGGCCTAAATCTTATTGGGGCTTAAGGTCGCGGCGCAGGGGCATGCCGCCTAGCTACAATTATGCGGCGAAGGGCATGCCGCCTAGCTACAACAAGCTAACCTAACCTAGACACGACACGACTAGATAGCGGCGAAGGGCATGCCGCCTAAGACTTAGATACGAGTGCTCGCGGCGAAGGGCCTGCCGCCTAGTCCTAGTCCAGTATCTACATTGCTCCTACAACTACAAAAAGTCTGAGCCTACTAAGTCTATAATCTGTTTAAGTGCCTTCTCTCCTAATCCTTCAAACACAGCCCGTTTGAGGTCGCGGCCTCCCGGAAGCCACGGAGATCGCGATGATCAGAGCGCGGAGTCGGTTTAGGGTTTAGGTTTAGGGTTTAAGGTACAAATGCACACTAACTATCCTGTTTGTAAGTAGGGCCTGGTTGGGAAGCAAAGATGAAGAGAGGTATCAGATTATCGGGATGTATGACTTATGCTTACTTTGGAGTTGCGGCTTATAGCTTTTTTTACATGTCGGAGCCGAAAAGACCTTAAGGCTCAAAGAAATGATCAGGGCTTCCAGATATAAATAGGGACTTCTTTATAATGAGATGTTCTACAATAATCGAAACCGATCCTTTCCCCTCTCAGCCTAAACCCTCAGCCTAAACCATACAAGCTCAAAGCCATAAGGCCAGCCTAGACCCTTAAACCCAAGTCCTTACCGGAATTGAACCCTCCAAACCCCAATTTTTTTCTAAGCTTCTAGACGCCCCAACATGACCAACATGTTTTGAACCCAAACCCTACAAACCCTATACTTAAAGTAACATGTACCCAAAAAGTGTAAAAGTGTACCACCCAGCCAGTAAGTTTAAGGTATACTCCTTAATTAAGGGGTATTGGGATCTCTGGGTGTAAGGCTTGGCTTAGGGTTTAGGGTTTGCTATAAGGGCTCTCGTATTGGGTGTACGGTTTGGGGTTTCAGGTTCTTGAAGGGTTTGGGGTGTGGGGTTCTTATAGGGTTCAGGGTCTAGGGTTTGTTGCCCGGGTTGCTATAAGGGTTCTAACGACCTATTATAGGGATCTCAATAAGCAGAACATGGGTCTGGGGTGTAGCATAATTGGCGTGCTTGTAAAGGTATTGCAAACGGATAAAACTACTCGGACCCCTATATTGAAAATCTGATGAATTTGAGATGCGCGTGCTGTATGGCTAGGCTGTAACGGGAAAGGCCTAGTTTGAAAAAGTTGAGAACTCGAGTGTGAGTTCTGCGGTTCAGGATTTGGGTTGAGTGCTGCGGATTCAGGATCTAGAGTTTACGGTTCAGGGGTGTTGGGTTTGCACAGTTCAAAGCTTAAGTAGCGCTTGGTTTACGCTGAACCCAAATCTTTTCACAAAGAACTAAAGCCTGCGCTACAGCCCTGTACCCTGAAATCCAACACCCTGAGCGATAAACCCTGAAACCCGAACCCTGCCTGGTAAAACACAGTCCCAAGCCCTTACGTGGTGCAGCCGCAACGCACCCCCACAGTCCTAACTCCAGAGGCCGAACCATGCAACTTATAAGATAAACAGCCGACGCAACATTCTGAACGAAGATATGGCCAGAAACACAAGCCCGCAGGGTTGGTTTAGGGCACTCTGTGACGCGAAGCACCCTTGTGGCCTCTAGTTGCAGCATGACGTGTTCAGTCTGCTTCATCTGAGGAGGTTTATGGTGTAGCCGGTCATGTAGCTCCACTTGGCTCGAAGATCGGCGGTTGAGGCCTCCATTCAACATCAGGGCTTCAGCGTCTTGGCCCACGGGCTGCGAGCCGGCGCAGCAACGACATAAAGTCTGTTCTCGGTGCTTCTGGGGTTAGATAATACTTATACGAATACCAATAATTTTACTTATACAAATACTAGTAGAAGTACTGATACGAAAACAAATGACAATACTGAAACTAATACAAATACTAGTAGTCTATATAAACATATATAGACTTAAAGTGGTAGCTATTAGAGCTGAAGCTCCAAGACAAACGCAAACAACAAGTCAAGAGAAAGCACTCTAAATAATGGCATCCCAAACCCTAACTCCGAAAGCAAAAACAGCCCTCAACCCGACACCCTAAACCTTCTCTGTGCAAATCCAAGCAACATCCGGTCGTAGTGACGGAGATGCTGCGGGAACCTTACTGGGATGCGTGTCTTGGGGCTTTGGGGTGGGAAGGGAGCCTTGTTTTAGGGTTTAGGGTTCGAGGATTCGAGTCCTGGGAATTAGGGCTCAATGTTTTGGGTTTAAGGATTAAGGTGTAGATTTACGGATTAGGGTTTTGGAGTTGGGGCTTAGTGTTAAGGGTTTAGGCATTACAAGGCTTAGGGTTTCAGGATTCGGGTTTTGGGAATTGGGGCTTAGTGTTAAGGGCTTAAGGTTTAGGGCGTGAGGCTTAGGGTTTAAGGATTCGGGCTTTGGGAACTAGGGCTTAATGTTCTGGGATTAGGGATCCCGGCATACGGTTTAAGGATTCGGGTTTGGGGAATTAGGGTGTAGTCAAGCGAGGCTCACGCTTGACAGCATGCCCAGATTAGCCAACGGTTTCAGCAAAAGAAAAGGAAGGACAAAGGAGACAAAGAAAAGTCCTTCAAAGAAGCCAAGAAGGGCAAAGGAAAGGATCCGGCCAAGGCCGCATCCTCCACTGGGGATTCAGCGTCTGCAACCCCAGGTTTGTATGAGGCCACCGCGCCGGACTGCCATGAGTCGTATGAGGACGGCTCTTACGCTGTTCGGAGTGTCAACTCAGAACGAAATGAAATTGTAACGAGATATAACTGAGGCCGACGCTGTGCAATATGAATGCACGAGGTACTTGTTCTGGAGATCCTGCTCCAGGGTCGGCATCCCCCAACCGAGGCGAGCATGAAGGGGAGCTCTGTCATAACACCGTCAACGGCTGTTGAGATGTCGATCTTCAGGGCGCAACTGCCTTCTTTCCACTCTCCACTATAGTCACCCACTATAGTCAAACGCCGCCATACACCTCAACCTTAGAC